TGCAGATGACACACAAATGTACGTAACAATTTCACCAGGAGACTATGCTCCAATTCAAACACTGAGTAAGTGCATTGAACAAATCAATGACTGGATGTGTCAGAACTTTCTCCAATTAAACAAAGATAAAACTGAGGTGATGGTTTTTGGAGCCAAGTCAGAATGTATAAAAGTTAGCGCTGAGCTTCAGTGTGCAATGTTCAAAACAACAGATAAAGCCAGAAATCTAGGTGTAGTCATGGACTCTGACCTGAGTTTCAACAGTCACATTAAAACTGTTACTAAATCAGCCTACTATCACCTAAAGAATATATCTAGGATTAAAAGACTAATGTCACAGCAGGATTTGGAAAAATTTGTCCATGCTTTTATCTTCAGTAGACTGGACTACTGCAATGGTGTCTTCACAGGTCTCACTAAAAAATCTATTAGGAAGCTGCAGCTGATTCAGAACGCCGCTGCTCGAGTCCTCACTAACACTAAGAAAGTGGATCACATCACTCCTGTTCTGAAGTCTTTACACTGGCTTCCTGTGTGTCAAAGAATAGATTTCAAAATACTGCTGCTGGTTTATAAAGCACTGAATGGTTTAGGCCCAAAATACATTTCTGACCTCCTGCTAAATGATGAACCATCCAGATCTCTCAGGTCTTCAGGGACTGGTCAGCTTTCTGTCCCCAGAGTCATAACTAAACATGGAGAAGCAGCGTTCAGTTATTATGCTCCAAATATCTGGAACAAACTCCCAGAAACCTGCAGGTCCGCTGCAACTCTGACTACTTTTAAATCCAGGCTGAAGACTTTTCTTTTTGTCGCTGCTTTTAATTGAACTATTCATATCTTAAACTGCACTGTAACTTTTATCCATGTATTTTTTCTTTTAATGTTTATTTTATTAGCTTTTCTTTTTAATGACTGATTTTAAATGCCATTTTCTTAATCTCTTTCATTTTTTGTAAAGCACTTTGAATTGCCTTGTGTTGAAAAGTGCTATATAAATAAACTTGCCTTGCCTTGCCTTGCCTATCGCTCGAAGTGGAGTCGAAAGAGATGAGTTTTCAGTTTGCGCCGGAAGATGTGCAAGCTATCTGCTGTCCTGATGTCAATGGGGAGCTCATTCCACCATCTTGGAGCCAGGACAGCAAACCCACGTGTTTTCGCCGATGGGAACTTGGGTCCCCCTCGCAGCGAGGGCGCAGCGAGTCGTTTGGCTGATGCAGAGCGTAGTGCACGCGCTGGGGTGTACGGTTTAACCATGTCCTGGATGTAGGAAGGGCCAGATCCATTCGCAGCATGGTAAGCAAGTACCAGTGTCTTGAAGTGGATTCTAGCAGTTACCGGAAGCCAGTGAAGGGAGCGGAGGAGCGGAGTGGTGTGGGAGAATTTAGGAAGGTTGAAGAACAGACGAGCCGCTGTATTCTGGATGAGCTGCAGAGGTCGGATGGCACATGCAGGTAGACCAGCCAGGAGGGAGTTGCAGTAGTCTAGGCGTGAGATGACGAGAGCCTGGACCAGAACCTGAGTCGCTTTCTGGGTCAGCTGGGGACGTATCTTCCTGATGTTGTAAAGCGTGTATCTGCAGCAACGGGTTGTAGCAGCGATGTTTGCAGTGAAGGACAGGTTGTTATCTAGGGTCACACCCAGATTCCTTGCAGTCTGAGTCGGGGAAACAACTGAGGTGCCGATGTTGATTGTTAGGTCAAGAGTGGGACAATCTTTTCCCGGGAGGTAGAGCAGCTCAGTCTTGTCAAGGTTGAGCTTGAGGTGGTGAGCAGACATCCACTGAGAGATGTCAGCTAGACAAGCAGAGATGCGTGCGACGACCTGGGTCTCTGAGCGGGGAAAGGACATAATTAATTGGGTGTCGTCAGCGTAGCAGTGGTATGAAAAACCATGCGGGCTAATGACTGATCCGAGCGAGTTTGTGTACAGGGAGAAGAGGAGGGGACCAAGAACAGAGCCCTGAGGGACCCCTGTAGTTAATTGACAAGGGTCGGACTCAGACCCTCTCCAAGTCACCCTGTAGGTACGGTCTTTCAGGTATGAGGTGAGGAGGGAAAGTGCAGAGCCTGAAACTCCATGTTTTTGGAGAGTGCGAAGGAGGATCTGATGATTCACCGTGTCGAATGCAGCAGACAGGTCCAACATTAATCTGATATCCGCACAAACAAATAAGTCAGATTGATACCACTGTCTCGTCCTGTAGGAAAGCAAAGTGAGACGGATGATGCTTGAAGCAGATGGTAGAAATGAATGCAGATTTTTCCGCGTTACCTCCACTCTGCGCTGTTCTATCCGTCTTGAGGAGAAAGACATTTTGCAGTAACTGTGAAATCTGTGGTTACCGACATTGGAAATAACGCTTTCTCTGCAGACGTTTTTCTTGATAAAATGTATTTTTATTTTAACATCACAACAAATAATATGTTTGTTATAGTTTTAATCAAATAAAATATTGTTCTGCTCTCTGCTCATACAAAAGCTACTTTCCTTATTGATCTTTTCTTTACATTGTTCGTCACATTCGTAGAACAAATCTTATCACAACACTGTCCTTGCATTAATACATAGTACGTGGGATCCGTCTGGTGTGCAGGAGTTTTGGATACATCTTCATAGTTTTACTTTGGGCAGTCTGTTGCTAAAATGCTAAACTTTACTGATGGATTCTACCTTGTCTCTACCATAACTCATTCTAAAATCAGTTTGAAATCTTGCTGCAGAGAAAGGGATTTTACTTATTTATCATAACGACACAATTTATTTCTTTTTGTACTCCTGGAAATCTGGTTGAAGTTTTCTATACACATAACAGAACCGTTGAATCTTCTTCTTTAACGTCGGGTCATCAGTCTCAATATCTCCCTCTCTTGTTTCTGGTCCTGCAAGAATATAAAAGAAACATTGAAGAGCACATGCATCCATCACAGCTTCATTAACACAGGTTGAAATAGCACTGCGTGAAGGAAAATGTACTCCTGCTTCAATGCAATCAGCAAACACGTATTGCTCCACATGCAAGGATGTACAAATAATTTCTCTGTCATGTCTTCAATCGCTCTCTGTCACTTGGCATATTGAAATGCCAGCGGGAAGCCATCAGTCCTACAATGATAATGCTAATTTAAAAAAGGAAGGAGCTCAAAATAGAATAAATTAGCTATTTTTTCCTTCTTGGACTTTGTGTTTGTTCTCCTGTGGAGAAAAGAGAAATGATTGCTGCATTTTCTAAATTGCTGCTTTTGTGTCTGTCTTTCTCCGGCAAATTATAAATCTGCCCTGAAGGCTTGGAAATAATTACCCAAGTGCTGCAAAAGGCATTTAATTGTATGTCAAAGCTGACATTGAATAAATCCATTCAGAACGATTGGCCTTTATTCTTTGTGTATTTTCATCTGTCTGGAGCTTTTTCCGTCTCTCTTTGCAAAAGTTGGCATATTTTTACCCATCCTGATTCTCTTGGTTGAGTTTGAGGAACGATATGTTTGGTGAAGTAGACGCCTTTAAATCATCTTTTAGTGATCAGACAATTATGCTGCACAAATTGTGTTTGGATTCGGGAAAGGCAAACTAATGACTGAATCTTTGTCATCACAGCAGCTAAACCACGTAGTTACTGCAATTAATGTTGGGCTATAAAGGAACTACAGCACGGTCACATGACTTCACGTCATCACCGCTAAGCTAAAGGTGGCTAATGTTGGGCTATAAAGGAACTACAGCACGGTCACATGACTTCACGGCACCACCGCTAAGCTAAAGGAGGCTAATGTTGGGCTATAAAGGAACTACAGCACGGTCACATGACTTCACGTCACCACCGCTAAGCTAAAGGCAGCTAATGTTGGGCTATAAAGGAACTACAGCACGGTCACATGACTTCACGTCATCACCGCTAAGCTAAAGGTGGCTAATGTTGGGCTATAAAGGAACTACAGCACGGTCACATGACTTCACGCCACCACCGCTAAGCTAAAGGAGGCTAATGTTGGGCTATAAAGGAACTACAGCACGGTCACATGACTTCACGTCACCACCGCTAAGCTAAGGAGGCTAATGTTGGGCTATAAAGGAACTACAGCACGGTCACATGACTTCACGTCACCACCGCTAAGCTAAAGGCAGCTAATGTTGGGCTATAAAGGAACTACAGCACGGTCACATGACTTCACGTCATCACCGCTAAGCTAAAGGTGGCTAATGTTGGGCTATAAAGGAACTACAGCACGGTCACATGACTTCATGTCTCCACCGCTAAGCTAAAGGAGGCTAATGTTGGGCTATAAAGGAACTACAGCACGGTCACATGACTTCACGCCACCACTGCTAAGCTAAAGGAGGCTAATGTTGGGCTATAAAGGAACTACAGCACGGTCACATGACTTCACGTCACCACCGCTAAGCTAAAGGAGGCTAATGTTGGGCTATAAAGGAACTACAGCACGGTCACATGACTTCACGTCACCACCGCTAAGCTAAAGGTGGCTAACGTTGGGCTATAAAGGAACTACAGCACGGTCACATTACTTCACGTCACCACCGCTAAGCTAAAGGAGGCTAATGTTGGGCTATAAAGGAACTACAGCACGGTCACATGACTTCACGTCACCACCGCTAAGCTAAAGGTGGCTAATGTTGGGCGTGATGACGTTTACTCGTCTCATTCAGACACTTGTTAGCAACCGTCGTTTTTTTAAATCCACCAGTGGGGTATTTACTGATGTATTTTATGTTGTAGAACAAAACGTTAAAATCTCTTCAGCTTGTGTAAACCACTGACCTTATTTCAGACAAACAACCAAAAACACATTTATTTATTGAATTCCAGGCCAGGGGACAGGAAGTGCTAAAATGCTGACTCTCAGGGTTTTGGGACTCATTCCTGCGTTAGTGCTGTCTCTCTCTTACCATTGATAGTTATTAGTAAAACCTGTGCTTTTTCAGTCAAAATGTCTGCTGTTGTTCCGTTCTGTCGTCTGTCTTTGCTTCGGACTCACCGTTTACAGCAGTGAGCAGGGCTTCTTCTTGACCTTGGTGGGCTGGGGGCAGAGCACGGCCCGGATAGCCTCGTCAAACACCGTCTTCAGACCGCGCTGGGTCAGAGCCGAACACTCCAGGTACTTCACCGAATCTACACCAACACAACAGGACAATCCATAAAACTCAACTTCAAAACTAAGAAGACCAAGTTAGGGAAGTAAAACAAGCTCTTTTAAGCCCTAGCATTGATGCAGTGTGAATCCGTTGTATGCAAATATCACTTTGTATTCATATTTGTAAAGAAATACAGATGTAGGTTATCTAAAAGAACCTGAATGTTGAATTACAATATCACTATGGAAAAGCGGTGTCGGCTGTAATGGGCTTTAACCTCAAATTTGACAATTTTTTAATACTACGAGACATACTTACAAATGCTGCTATTTCATTGGCTGAAACACAAAACAGATCATTGCAGCATTACCCATAATCCCCTCTGTTTCAGCCCTTTTTCCAAAGTGCTGATTCTCTGTCTGTTACTTTAGATGAAAATAAGGAGCCCCTCCCCACGCCCCTCTGAGAGAGATTTGGTTACAAAGAACTCAATGGTGCTCTAGGAGGAGATTCAGGTGATAAGGGGGGGGGGTTACCTTGGTTGCTGATTGGCTAATGGTTACACAAGACAAAACATCGTTATGACATCACAAAGTGGCCAAAATCTGAATCTGACAGGTTTTTATATAAATGGATCAGGACAAAAATAGAGAGAATCTTTGTTCCTGAAACGTTCAGAGTCTCTTTCCACAGAGGGGACACATGTTGATGTAGAAGAGACATGAAGAAGAGGGGACACATGTTGATGTAGAAGAGACATGAAGAAGAGACAGAGAGAACATGTTGATGTAGAAGAGACATGAAGAAGAGGGGAACATGTTGATGTAGAAGAGACATGAAGAAGAGGGGACACATGTTGATGTAGAAGACATGAGAAGAGGGGACACATGTTGATGTAGAAGGACATGGAGAAGAGGGGACACATGTTTGTAGAAGATACATGAAGAAGAGGGGACACATGTTGATGTAGAAGAGACTGAGAAGAGGGGACACATGTTGATGTAGAAGAGACATGGAGAAGAGGGGACACATTGTTGATGTAGAAGAGACATGGAGAGAAGAGGGGACACATGTTGATGTAGAAGAGACATGAGAAGAGGGGACACATGGTGATGTAGAAGAGACATGAAGAAGAGGGGACACATGTTGATGTAGAAGAGACATGAGGAAGAGGGGACACATGTTGATGTAGAAGAGAAGAAAGGACAGAAGAGGGGAGACATGGTGATGTAGAAGCGACATGAAGAAGAGAGGGACACATGT